ATATGTTTTAAATGATTTAGAGAAAGGAAGGGAGAGCGGGGAGAAGAGAACATCTGTGTGAGAGAGAAACACCAATCCTCCCGCTCACACCCTGACCTGGGACTGAACCCTCAACCCAGGCATGTGCCCCAACCTGGAATTGAACTGTCGACCAGGACAATGCTCACTCAACTGAGCCACACCCGCCAGGGCTAAAGTTCTGTTCTTTTTGAATTTTTTGACTATTTCCTTTAATTGTAGAGATAAGTGTTGTTTCTAATATTTGCAAATCTACATACATTTTTAAAATTTCACTGAATAAAAATAATTTTATCAAGATTTAAAATAAATTTATACTTTTAAAAGACAATTTTTAAATGTATATAGATCGTTTTAGAATATTTTAATTTTTTTCCTGTGCTATATCTTGTATTTATTTATTTTGAGAGGCAGCAGGTCTCCTGTGTTGAACTGCTTCTGCAGTGGCCAAGGCTTTTGTCCTTGTGATGGCACTCACTACGCTGTAGAATTAACATTCTGGGGTCATTGCTTGCAGTGGTTCTCAACCTTCCTAATGCCGCGACCCTTTAATACAGTTCCTCATGTTGTGGTGACCCTCAACCATAAAATTATTTTCGTTGCTACTTCATAACTATAATTTTGCTACTGTTATGAATCGTAATGTAAATATCTGATATGCAGGATGTATTTTCAGGGGTCGCGACCCATAGGTTGAGAACCGCTGGCTTAGAGAAAGACAGGTGTTGCTAAAGAGACCTCTCGGTTCACAGGAATAGAGTGGAATTTCTTTTCTTATTGAGTTAATGGGTCATACCCAAAGTGGTTGCTGCTATTGTAGTGTTTAGTTGTTTAGCAATTCTGTTTTCTATAAAAATGTACATAGGAAAATGGTCTGAAATCTGTTAACGCTACTCTAATGCAAATTTTATAAATGACATTTGTATGGGGTGGAGGAGTTCATCTCTTTTAAGTTTCAAGCTGGTGGCTCTCACTTCTCCTCTCCTGCCGGCCATGGTATTGTATATTGATCAAGGGAGTGTTCATTTATATGCGTAGAGTTTTAAAGTGATAAGACTTCTGAAGTGGTTTAGTCTGTTCCTGCTACTTTCCACATGAGTTGGTAAACCCAGGCAGACAGGCATGCACGTGCCTGGTGACACTGAGTGCTTAGGTGACCGTGTAAGTGCAGGGTGTGGCCCCGAGCTTAGGCCTGCAGGTCAGGGCTTGCTTGCAACACTGCTGCACATGTGCATACCTGGCCTTCTGTACGAACCTGGCAGGGACCACACGTATGCTCTTTACCTGTTTCTGGAAGGTTAGAAAAACTACTTCTGAGGCTCATTTAAAAATTAAAAATAGCCTTTAGAAAACAACTCTCAACCCCTCATTTATTTACTACAATAGAATCTTGCTCTAACATGTGCCATAATTTATATCTTCCTCCTAAAATGTAATTGTATCACATATACAGAAAAGCAAAGTGTCCTCCGGGTCTCGCAGTGCTGGCCTTAGTTGTTTTCTCTAATCCTGTGATGATAGAGGTTCTGTGGCCCCACTGTTACCTCTATTAGTGTAAAAACTACCTGTAACTTCGTCTTTGTGCTCGTACCTAAGATTTAAACCAGGTTGGAACGCAACAATGAGACAGGATTTTCCATTCAGAAAAAGAACCAATTCATCATTAGTATTTAGATAATCTTTTCATGTGTAATTAAGCAAAAATGTCTTGAACTCATTTCTAAAGCGTGGTAGACATTGAAAAAATTACCTTCAAGTTCTGTGTATTTTATGTCTTTCAGGGGCCCAGAAGACACTTGCTTTGAGTTTGGTGTTTTTCCTGCCATCCTGAGTTTCCCGCTTGATTACCCATTAAGTCCCCCAAAGATGAGATTTACCTGTGAGATGTTTCATCCCAACAGTGAGTACTTTTGGAAGTTGTTTTAGTGATTCCAGGAGGGGCCCAGAGTGACTCCATGAAAGGTAGTGTCAGTGAGTGACATAGACCACTGAAAACATTTTTTATGTTCTGAACTTCAGCAAATTAATCATGGTGGTATTGACATCGTGGTTTCAGTTTAGAAGGACAGTTTAACGTAGATAAAAGGGTAAATTACCAAGAGAAATCCAGTGCCTTTTAAAAAATATTTAAGTAATTTCAGTTGTCTTTGTCCTAGCCATGTGAACATTTCTCAGGGATTTAATAGTAGAATTATTGTGGACAATCCTGATTATATTTTGGTGAAATATTTGATTGCCAGATAACTTTTCATTTACTCCTTTTGGATATAATATTTTTAAAAAACAACCATATGACAATGGAATTGTCCCATAATTACTAGAACTGGACAGACCAGCCTAGAGCCCCATCAGGGGGTGGGCAGTGACCTGAGGGGTCCGTATAGGCCCACCAGGACCATGTGGATGGGAACGTTGTGGATGGGAGCTTGACACTTGGGGCCTCAGGTTGTGTTCCAGCTGTACAGACAGCCGTTCTCGGTGTCTGCACCTCCTGCTCCCTGCCTCGGTGGCTGGGTCGCTGGCCCGTTATCGCTCACCTGGTGTGTTCCGGCCCCTGCAGTCTATCCTGATGGGAGAGTCTGCATTTCCATCCTCCATGCTCCGGGCGACGACCCCATGGGCTACGAGAGCAGTGCCGAGAGGTGGAGCCCCGTGCAGAGCGTAGAGAAGATCCTCCTGTCGGTGGTGAGCATGCTGGCAGGTGAGGAAAGCCTTGGCCACTGTGGGCTCGCTGCTAGTAGAGGAAGCCAGATAGCTCAGTGGCTGTGCCTCCTCCCGCATTTCATCCTCGACTTCATAATCCAGCTTTATTGTTTTTAATGAGTTTATATATATACTTTTCTGCCTTTTCATTTCATGTTATTTGTATACACTGTTCCAAGCATAATCCCTTCTGTGTTTCTGATCTGAGTGCCTGGGCAATGGGGTGCTGTCTTTGGGGACAGGAATCCAGAGGGAGCATAATTTTGGAAGGGAACAGTTTGGGGTATGAGGCCTCCCACACAGGAGCTGGTGAGGAAGTGTTTGTTGAATAATGGAAGAAGGGAGGGAAATCGGAAGCCATTCATCTGAGGGTGGGTCGTGGAAGTGAGGATATGGGATCATCTGTGGATAAGACAGTTGGTGACGGGTAGGACAAAGGGGATAATGGAGAAAAGGGCACATAGAAGGGAAAGGTCCTCACAGGAGTCGGGGAAGTGGTCTGGAAAATTAGGAAATGGAGGCATGTCAGGAGGAGAAAGTTGACGGTGCTGTAGGAGGTCCCAGCTGGAGGCCAAACTGAGCGGCCACTAGGTTTGGGCCGTTGGAGGTCCTTAGCTGACTGCTTAGGATTCAGTGAAGTCCGGGAACCTGAAGTCAAGAATTTCAGTGTATGTGTTTTGTTTTTTTGTTTGTTGTTGTTGTTTTAAAGAATAGTTTATTGATTTTTAGAGAAGAGATGAAAGAAGAAGAGGGAAAGAGAAATATCTATGTGAGAGTGCAGCATCAATCAGCTGCCTCCTGCACGCTCCTCACCAGGGATCCAGCCTGCAGCCTGGGCATGTGCCCTGACCAGGAATCGAACCAGTGACCTCTGGGTGCATGGGATGATGCCCAACCAACTGAGCCACACCAGCATGCGTGTTTTAAGCTGGAGACTCTCTCCATTCTCACATGAGCAAACAGAATCAGACAAAAGGTGTCTGAAGACGAGAGAGAGGCATTGACTTGGCTATCTTCAGATGTCAGCTATAAGTTCTATTATAAACATTTTTGCTCTAAATTATTCTCCTTTTTTGAAAGGTTTTAGTGTAGTCTTTACACACTCCTCTTGGAATAGCAGTCCCCTGCTCCGAGCTGCTTTCCCAGCACCGTCACCGCGCTTCGTCTGCCAGGCGGTCTCCGGTTCAGTTGTGTTGTCTGTCCCGGTGCTGCTCTAGGAGACTGTGGTCCTTGGGCCTCTGCAAGCCATCGGGGCACTGGAATTTCCTTGGGCAGAGGCTGTGGGCAGGGATTGGGGGCTGGCTCTGTCCATGCTTGGCTGTTCCCTGCAGTCTGGCTCAAACAAGGGTCCCCTAAGTACCACATTCTCTGAGAAGCCTGCGTACCCCCAGTCGTCCTGCCTCCTGCTGTCCTATTCTCCCCTTTGTAGCACTTAGTTTGACATGAGGCATCTGTGGGTCCATGAGAGGGTGTCTCTCAGAGGACCCAGGTCATTGGGTCCCCTGCATAGCCAGTGTCCAGAATGAGGCCTCCCACACAGGAGCTGGTGAGGAAGTGTTTGTTGAATAATGGAAGAAGGGAGGGAAACAGTGCTATTGGTTGGAAGATTACAGACGCTGTGGGAGCTTAGGGAAGGAGGGCTAGAGGCCTAGAGTCCATGCTGAGCTCAGGACTGTACTCATTGTCCTGCTGGCCTCTAGGCAGCCTTCTCTATTCTGATCTGGTTGCTTCTCGGTTTCTACATGGTGGTGACTGCCTGTACCTCTATCACTGCTGGTTCCCCTGTCCACTTCCCACCGGCCCCGGCTACCTCTCTGTATACCTGCTGATTCTATTCTGGAGCCACTGCTGGCCCTGTGTGGCCAGCTCATGGACTAGTCTGGGGCCAGATGTCCACATGGGCTGAAAGACCATGTGGGGCCACATCTGCCTGGCCGTGTGCTCTGGTAGTTGCTAGGGGGAGCTGCACTGAGAAGGGCTCTGAGAGAAGTGTCTGCACAGAGCAAGCCCTGGAGGAATAAGCTGGCGGGTGGGTGGTCTGTGACTCGCTCTCTGGGCGCTCTGCAGGTCATGTGCCAGTTGTCCTATGTGCTAAGCGAGGTAGATGACTTCTGTGGGCACATTTAGACGCTCAGAAGGTAGGAGTCATGAGAGTGGATCTTGCCTTGAGATGTGTCTCTCCACTGACCTCACGCCTCTTCTCAGGCGAGGGGCTGTTGTTTGTTTCTTAAACAACAGGCTTCCTCCCCCAGCATTTCAGTCGTCAGCATCTCTTATTTATTTTGGGGACACATCTTGGGGGTGGAATGAAGATTTTGTCAATTCAGACCTTACTTTAGGAGCCCCTTTCATGTGGACAACGTCTGCCTTCTCTTCCAGAGCCCAACGACGAAAGTGGAGCTAACGTGGATGCTTCCAAAATGTGGCGGGATGACCGAGAGCAGTTTTACAAGATCGCCAAGCAGATCGTGCAGAAGTCTCTGGGGCTCTAAGGCCTTGCCCGTGTGTGTGCACACGCACCACCAGGCAGTCTCCAGTGTTTCTCCTCCAGGACACTGAGCGACAGTGACACTCTGTGCTGGTACCAAAAAAGGAAAGCTTGTAGAACTGCAGCTCTGGTCTTCTTTTCCACCCCTCCCACCCCAAACGGGCTTCTCTTCTGAAATTACAATTCACGTAGGATAATGACAGTTGGATGCAGCTTTAGAGTGTTCCAGCAAGGTGGTTCAGGTAGATTGTCAAAGCTGTCACCACTACCTCTCCTAGCTGAAGCGCCTGCGAACCCTAGTAGCTTCCCCTCCCTCCTGAGTGCCGAGGGGGTCTGTGCTGGCCTCCTCAGGACTGGAGCCAAGGCAAAGGGCAGGGCTGGGCGTCTGTGGTCCCTCTGGCTCCTGTGTGCCCCACGAGCAGTGCGCAGCTGTTTCAGTGTGTTGTATTTTACAAGCAGGTGTTTTTGTTATCTAGTTACATCTTCTTCATTTGTTGTGAATTCAAACTATCACACTTAGTAATACTTTCGGGAAATAAATACTTTTTAAAATGTGGATGACTGAACATTGGGGCACATGGAGAAGCTCACTGCTACCACACAGACCAATGATCTTTCCTGATCACATTTATCAAAGATGACAGTCATGTCTCAGTTACTAATACAGGAAAATATGAGGCTGAAAGTTCTAGTCACAGTTTCTTCTGGATCTATAGGAGTTTATCTTTTCCAGTCTCAAAACCAGGGAGTTCTAGGCTTTTGCACATTGTGGTTGCAGCAGGAACTTTGACTTATTGGGACAAAATTATTCTTTGCAACTTGGAAGGGATCTTTTGTTAGCGCAGAGCAGAGGCGTGCCTTATCTCCAAACTTGACCTGCGCTCTCTTGTGGAAGTGTGGCACGCGGGGTCCCGGGCCCCAGTGGACATAAATCACTTACGTGTGGATTACAGTCAGTCTTCTCCAGTATGGGCGGCTCAGCAGCACGATGCCGGGGGCCATTATGAGCAATAACAGATCTGTTGCTTGCAGAATCACACATTCAGCCTGTTTCAAACAGGTTACATTTAAATAGGTATTTCTATTTTTAAAATAAGGGACGGCCTTCAAGACATAGAATAGATCTTACTTTCCTTTGTCCCTTCCTCCCCTTTCATGATGTGTCTGGTGGGCAGGTGTGGTGTCGGCCACCTCACACATAATCTCTTGGGTTAACAAATACTGGCTAAAGGGGCTCCATATTGGGCTTCTTTGGAAACCAGATTCTCTCCTCAGAAGGGCACCTTTTAAGGTTTGGAATTTAGTACGAGGACTTGTATTTGGAAGGGAGGGAAAGAGGTGTTGCACCTAAACAGTATTTGTAGGCCCATTTGCAGGAGGCCGAGCCTTCTCCACAGAGAGGGAAAGTGTGTGGGGATGTGATCTGTGGACACGGCTGGAGCGTGGACATTGCAGCCACATTAGCAGGTGGCCACGGGGGCTTCCAAGAAATCTGGAGAAAGAAGAGAGATGGTCTCTTTGCAAAACAAAGTATTTTTATTAATTTGTATTTATTAAATGGAAAGAGAATCCCCTGGTTAAAAATAAAGTTATATATTTTCCCCATTCTGCAGTGTGTTTTTATTTGTTGCATCTCTACTAGTAAAAGGCTAATTAGATCGGACATTTTCTATACAGCCTTCCGAACGTCCTTCCGGACAAAGCCACAGTGGTGGGGGCCAAGGCAGAGGCGGTTAGGGGCGACCAGGCTGGCAGGGGAACAGTTAGGGGCATCAGGCAGGCAGGCAGGTGAGCGGTTAGGATCCAGCAGTCCCGGATTGCGAGAGGGATGTCTGACTGCTGGTTTAGGCCCGATCCCAGTCTGACATCCCCAGAGGGGTCCCAGATTGGAGAGGGTGCAGGCCAGGCTGAGGGAACCGCCACCGTGTCCCCACCCCCCCACCCCCTGCACAAATTTCATGCACCGGGCCTCTAGTTTTTATATAATGATACGGAGACCCACGACCAAGTGCCTGCTGTGGAATATGCCAGAGGCCTCTCAGTAGAGCTGCCCTCCCATGGACAGTGTGCATGGGCACCAAGACTCCATGTCAGGACTGTTCAGAGGTCACTTTATTCTGGACTTGTGTGAGCCTTGGAGGGGTTCATTCTCTTAGTCCCTTTGGTCCCTTCTTCGTGTCTTTCCTTCTGGAGTTCTCGGGTTTCTTAGCTGGGTCTGTGGCAGCATCAGACTGTGAACTTGTCCAGAGGAGTTGTCTGTTAACCAGCCTCTGATTGGCACGGGCCGCAAAGAACAGGCGTGTGAGTAGGAAGCAGCAGAAAGCTAAGAGCACACTCAGATTCTCATCGGACCGTGAAGTCACAGTCCCTGTGGGACTTGCCTCTGAAGCTCCTTGCTTAGTGTGTAAATTAGTAAAGGGGCCCAGGTCCCAGCTTTGCTGACCTCAGTACTGTTTGGTGACTGTCACGGTCGGCCTTTCTTTTTCGTCCCCAGGCCTGGCCCTCCTTTCCCGCCCTGGGCCCTGGGCCACCTTCTGAGGTGCTCCAGGCTCAGGTCTCAGATCCCCCTCCTCCAGCAGTGCTCACTCTGCCTTCTGTTGAGGGGCTTTCATTTCTTTAATGTCAGATCTCTGGTGTGATTTCGAATTGGGGTGCCCAAGACCAGCCCAGGTTTGGTGACTTGCTGGACTCACAGCCGTGATGATACAGGACAGTGAAAGCATATAAGGCACGATCAGCACAGGGAAGACGTGTGGGAGGATTCGGGGGCACCAGGTGAGTGATAAGAGCCCGTCCTGGTGTTTCATGCAGGATGCACACAGCAAGGAGTGTGACAGCACCTGTGAGATGTCTACCAGGGACCTTGTCAGAGATCGGGGACCAGGGTTTTTATTGGGGGCTGGTCACATGGCACCTCTGCCTGGCACTTCCTCAAATTCCAGACTCCCAGAAGGAGAGCAGGTGTTGGCACAGCCATCGTCAGCACAGACGGTTTAGGCCCAGTGAGGCACCCTAGTCACACATGCTGGGAACTCCCCTGCAATCCACATTCTCAGGTGCCAGCCAAGGGCCCGTGTTGGGTGGGTGGGAGAGGCCATGCTGGCTGAATTTGCTGGTGCTCAGGCCCCTTCGGCAAGTCCCAGGAGGTCTGATTGCAGGGGAGGCACCCTCGTGGACCCTACACCACACATCCCCTTCCATGCAGGGAATGGTGTTCCTAGGCTGAGCTGTGTGGCCAGAGGCCCAGTATTACAGCCCCCAAATCTGTTCAGGTCATGCTCCCTCCCCCGGGACTGGGCTTTTACAGGGGACAAAATTGTTCACTCCCTCAGAGACCCGTCCCACCACCAAACCAGAACCCCGGCCCAGCAGCATCTTTAAGATCCCCTGCCACCCGGGCCCCATGGGTCATCAGACCTTGCGTCAGTGTGAACCACCTGGTGTCCACTGCCACCCCACTTGACTGAAACCCAGCTCTGGTAGATGCTGGCACCAGCCCAGTCACATGGAGGCTGCTGCTCTGTCCTCCACCCTCCCCTCAAGGCCATCTGCCTTGGCCACCAACACCTGTCACCCCAAGCCCTAGGAACCTCGGTTTTAGGTGTGGCTTGGGCATTTGCCGAGACTTCCTCTCCACCTGGCACCTGCCCTACGGGGTGTGCCACAGTGTCCCATAGGTGACCAGAGTCCCCAGGCTGCTCCGGTGCACAGACACCTGCAAGTGTTTACAGGTTTCGTCCAGGAAAGCTGGGCATGGCTGTAGATGCGCCTGCCGCAGCGTGGGGCTGGAGGTCATTCAGCTGTGCGGGGTGCCTGGACCTGCCTGGCCAGAGAGCAGCTCACTGTTGTAGAGTGGCTCAGATGTCTGGTCAAGGGGCCGTGCTCTGGAGCCAGAAGTCCCTGATGGCCTCACGGGCAAGAACCAAGGCTCTGGTCCCGGGGGTGAGGGACATGGGCTTCTGCCTCCAAGCGCTTGTCTATAAGCCGGCTCATCAGCAGGCCAGGGTTTGTTTTGCCCTCAGTCTCTGGGACAAAGCCCCTCCGCCCTCCATGGGAGGTGGGTCTCTCTGTGGCTGCCCGAAGCCCCTGGCTGTGCAGCTGGGGCCCAGGTCCATCTGAACCCAGGGACTGGTCTCACTGCTTCCAGCCTCTCCACCTCCTCAGCTTCTGCCGCTGGCTCTTGGCAACACTAACCCTGTCAGGTATCAGCCACTGGCGCAGGGTAGGGTGGGCCGAGAGGAATCAAGACCAGAGTGCGGATCTCGCAGAGTGCAGGTGGCGGGTGCTCGGTGCTTGCCCCTTGGGCCCCAGTGGATGCACGGCCAGCTGTGTGTGTGACTATGTTGATGGCACTGACCTCACGTCCTGCCTCAGTCCTCCTGACTCCTGTTTGCTCCAGGGTAACGGCGACAAGTTCCTTTCAAGTTGTGTATGTGTGTGTGCGTGCACGTGTGCGCATGTACATGTGTGTGCGGGTTTACCTGTCTGGCAGAGGACCTGACGTTGGCCCAGATTCAGGTGGAAACCAGGGACTGAGGGATTGTCTTGCTAATGGCTCTTTGAAATCCTGGATAATACACTAAATGAGTTGGAACCACATGAAACAGTTGCAGCTTCAGGGCAGAGCAGGCTGGGGGTTCTCACGGGTTTCTCCCTCTTGGACCAGTTCCCGCCCACGGGAGCAGCTAAGCGGGGATGGGGCGGCAGCAAGGTCCCACCCACCAGACCTCTGGGCGCCACCTCACCCAGCATGGCCCTACCTTCCTGAAGACCTGTGCACACACACATGTGTGCACATGCACTCACCCGTGTGCACATGTGTATACATACATATCACTCCTCAGGGCAAGAAGCCCCAGTGGCTTTGCGGCTGGGTACCCGATTGCCGCCTCCATCTTTATTTTCCCAACAGTGAAGTCCCAGGAGGCTGCGGGCACCTGAGGTCTGCCCGTGCGGGCGAGATGGGGCTTGGCTTTCACAGCTCACTGCTGCCAATCCCTGGGCACTGCCTGGGACCCCACCGGGCTGGCAGGTCCTGGCAGGGACAGATGGATGCTCAACGGGGTACTTGGAGGGTTTGTGGACAGAGGTGTGGGCAGGTTTTGGGGGACCAGGGCAGGCTTACATGGGCCTGGGCTGCAGGGACAGGGTGGAAGGCTGTCCAGACCTGCTGAGCTGTAGCTGAGGAGAGGGGCCCTGACAGGTGAGGGCTGCAGGGGTGGAACCAACCCCTGCCAACTAGAGCCCAGCGATGGGGAGTGTGGGGGCGAATTCCATGCCCATTCTCTTTCCACCCACAAAAATATTCTGGACCCCAGGAATGCAGGGCCTGAAGCAGGCGGAGGGGTGAGCGGGTGCAGGGAAGGGAAAGGGCTCTGAGCACACAGCACGTGGGTCTGCAGTGAGGCTTCAGGGCAGCCTTCCTGGGCTGGGGCCATGGGCAGTCAAGGGAGAGGACAGGCCCATGAATGTGCCCCAGGACCCATGGGGTGTGTGAACAACCTCCGGAAAATGCACATGTCTTTGTTCTGTAGACTCTCCCCTTCCTCTTCCTCA